GGGATGTCCTGTGGCTGGAGAAGTCTTTTCTCTGTCTCATGACATTCCGTTCAGCTTTTGCTGAGGTAGGCTGTTAAAAATTGCCAGTTTCCTTTTCACTTTTGTGTTCCTTAAGAAAACTGTGGAATAACTGAACAGGAACATTGTAATGCTGGGCTCCAGCTACTGTAGCAGCAACACGTGCCATGCTGGCAATACCTTGGAGCTTTCGGCCCACCTGTAGCAAGTGTGGGGCGGGGAGGGGACGAGCCAGACCCAGCAGCCTAAGTTCCCTTTCTGGGGGCACCACATGGGAAAGGAGCTCCTGCGACTCCCAGGTAGGGGAAGAGAGCGAGAGAACTAGCTCAGGTTTCTCCTAACCACCCCATGGAAACCCGTTTTCCTTTATTCTCTCTTTCTCCTCTCCAGAAGAGCAGCCTTCTGCTGCCACTGAATCCTGTAGCTCAAGTGGTAGCAGTCTGTGCTTCAGTGCTGAAGGTTCCACATTCAAACCCTGCTGATGATGTGTGGTGGGGAGGTTGTTACAGATGTGCATAATATTTAACTCTTTTAAAAAAAAACACATCAGGAAATTGCATGCCAAAGCTGTTAAAAGAACACTGTTTAGGATGCAAAGACAAACACTCAAAAGTTAAGTAATGCCAAATGTACGGTTGCCTATACAATTTTAATTTGGTCCCTTTGTGCATGTGTGTTATGATGCTGTCTTTGATTACATGGTCACATCCTGTTTTTTCCACAGGACTCCTGCTTCCTGTAGTGCCCAGAAGAGACTCTCATGGGGGCAGAATTAATTCTGCATAGGCAGGTGTAAAACTGGCATTTCCTAACTTTAGTGTGCTTGACTTTGCAACCTAAATGACATTTTAAGAGGCATTTTGTTTGGCTTTTGTGTGCATAATTTTTTTTTAACTTTGGGCAAAATATGTTTAGTTCCTGGGGAGTGGGATGGAGGACCAGGGAAGGGTAGACTTTCTTGACTTTATAAAAGTCCTTATGACCTTCTTGTGAACATCAGTGGACATTTGTAGTGTAGCTTTGGGGTGTCATGCAAGCTAGCAGAGCTTCAGAGGCCTGTTCTGTGCATCTCCAGCTCAGACCCTTTGTTTTTTAGCCTCACTCTGGCAGTTCAGTATAAAAAGGTTGTTCCAAGAATGCTACGGCTGCACAGTTAAGTGGTGGAAAGTCAGGAAATGCCAAGAGTTCAGGTTGCATAACCCTAACCCCGCCCCCTTTGTGCATTTGTATTGATATGGTAGTCTTTAATGATATTGTCACATACTGTTATTCAAATGCCATAATACATATCTTTTTGTACAGCTTTGCTAGACATGTGCAGTATCTTGTCGTTGTGTATGCTAGGTAATCAATCCATGAAAGCTTTCTGAAGTAGCACAGCGAATGCTGTTATGTACAGCATATGACAGAAGTTACAACATACTCATGGTCAAAGTTATGTAGTGTAGGTGGGCCCTGGTCCTGTGCAGAGCCCCATGGACTTCAGTGGGGCTGTGCTGACACAGTCTGCCCATACGCAGCTCAGTGGAATTCCATGAGTCTCAGCTGTGAACTTCGCTCTGCAACGAACAACCTCTCTCAGCCCCTGAATTGCATGCAAGGATGGATGTGCTGCTGGTTTAACAAGTAGTACATTGCTGACAAAATTACTGTAGCTACCTTATAGTGAAGAGAGCTTGTCTAGAAAGTCTGCCAGTAAAGATAAGGTTGAACCATTCTGACAGAAATCCCATGAAATTACAAGGGTGCAAAGCCTTTTATGCTGTTGGCATGTATCTAAGGTTACTAAAAACTCTGATACTGGTGTATTTGAGAAAGTGCGTGACCATGTAAACTATCAATGCACCTGCACAGGGGACAAAACTAAAGACACACCATCAGCTTACACACCATACGGTAACTTAAATTTCCCCCTGATACGTTTAACGAAAGCATGTTAAGGTAACGCCAGGGGACACGAAAACTGAAAGAAGAGGACCAATATGTCTCTCTCCTCCATGTGCTTCCTGTGTGTGACAGCACAATGTGTCTGGTCAGTGTCTCTGCTTCCCCTGTTGTCTGTGTGGAGATCTCTCAGCGAGAGGAGAACATCCTAGAGAAGGGAAGTGTGTCTGGAAAAGCTCACATGTTGGCTGGGGTCTTGCACAGGACCTGAAATGACTTTTCAGTCGTGTGGGTTTTTTTGTTTTGTTCTGTTTTTTTAAACAGAATCCTAGATTCAAGTTGCTTCCGTTCCTTTGGCATTTTCTGACTCTTGCGTGTTTAACCATTCAACCCTACCATTATACGGCTGTAGTTTTTTGGCTGGATTAATACTTTGTGAGAAGGAAACTGGTGCAGCAAAAGGTAGAACACAACAGCAACATGACCATTAAAAGGAGGGAGAGTGTCTGGGAGATAAACGCTGAATCTAAACTGCACTGCAAGAAACAGCAGCATACCCTAAAGCGATCAGAGAAGCCGCTCTGCTCTGCACTCCAGGTCCAAGTGCATTTCTAAGGGTGTCTTCAGCTCTAGCAGCAGCTGCCCAGACTTTTTAGGAAAAAAACAAAAGGCCATCACTTGCTAAGTAGCTGCGGTAGGCCTGTTTCCAAGGAGGGGACTCTGGGAGCCCTGGGCTGCAAAGCAGGAAGAATTCAAGCCACGGAGCAGCACTCAGGTTGGGGAGTAGGGTTGTCTCCCCTGCTCCACACCTATAACCCTCAGGTTCCCTGATTCTGTTTCTCTCTCCTCCTTGCCCTGCTCAGGATCTTGTCTTGCACTGATCCTCCCAACTGAGGAAGGCTGCTCTGCTCTGTGAATCAGCAAGAGAATGGTTAAAACATAGAGTTCCCCTAACCCCATGTGACCTGAGCATGCTCTGTCTGCTATGCTCCCCACCCAGCCAAGGCAGCTTGGCACTGAATGAGTCTTGGTTTTGCTCTTGGCCTCTGGATCTATCTCTTGGTGGAATCTGTGGCTGTATTTTGTCATCAACATATGTGAATGGTGCCTCCGTACTGGAAAGAGGCAGAAAGGGCCTGTATATGCGATGGTAAGGACACAGCTTTTCTGAGCGTGACAGATGGCCTGGGCAGATGTTTCCCCAGGAGTGCCTGCTATGCTGGAGGAGTGTGGGGGTGTCTCTTTCTCATGGGATTTGTGGGCTGTTGGTAAAACATACAATTTCATCATGGATTCCATGGCCTATGTGACTTCTTCTGCTTCAGCCCCTGCTGCCCGCGGCCGGGCCGGAGGAGCTGTGAGGTCCATCCCATCCGTCCATGTCGTGTGTGTGTGTGTCTCTCTCTCTCCCCCCAGCCCCCCCCCCCCGGGGCTCAGACTGTCAGTCCCTCCCCCCCCCCCCCGGACAACCTGTCCATGACTTTTACTAAAAATAACTGTGACAGAATCTTAACCTTAGCTATTAAGTATCTCCAGCAGGAAGTGACTTTGTGTGTTCGCTGTGCTATGGCTGGATCAGTGACTTCCTTTCTTTTTATTGCCCCTGAGGAGCTTCCTCCTCCCCTAAAATCAGAATTTGAGGGATGGTGCTAGTGAGAGGAGAGTGCTGTGGCCCTTCTGCCCTGGAGTCTGGGACAGGTGGTCTCAGTCCCACTGTTTACAGAACAAATGCTCAGAAATCCCCTAGTGAGTGAGTGGCAGCACAGGAACAATCTTTCTCTAAGCTGCTTCTGGTGAGCAGAACCTTTGTCTCCACCCTCTGCCTTCCTTCCCCGCCCTTTACACCCAGCTGAAGGTCAGCCTGGCGTCTGATGAGGGAGCTGGGAGGAGCGTCAGGTGTTGGGAACGAGGTTGCAAGCAGCTCACTGCAGGGTCTTGCCAGCTTCTCTGGAGCTCTCCCCAGCCAGTGAGTTACTGTTCAGCTTGTTCTACAGTTCCTGGGGGGAGGGATATGCAGTGAATTTGTTGTGTTCGTCCTCCTGCCTTCTCAGAGCTGAGGCTTGACTTTGATTCTTCCCAAGTCACCCAATCCCAGCTGCCTGTGTGCACACTGACACCCCTCTGGCGTGAGGGACAGGCTGGGGACCTACTTCCAAGGCGGTCCCCAAACTAGGGAGGCCTTTGGAACTGGAGAGTGAGCCCAGCTCCAGTGTGAGCTGTGAGCCCAGGGCTGCTGGTGCCCGCGGAGCTGCACAGGACTTTCTCCTAGCTAGGCTGTTACCTTGCTGTAGTATCCCGGCACCTTCCAGGGTGCGTTAAGTGACACGTTGGTCACGCCTTCTTCTGAAATGCTTTGGTAAAGAGTCTCTGCTGCTACTGGGGAGTAGCTGGCTTGGGAGCAGCAATGGGAGACCCTTGCAGTGGGCTGTTGCCCTGTCCCCAGAGGGTGCAACTGCTCCTGCCACTAGCTGGCTGGCCCAGCACTAGGATGCCTGGTTCCAAAAGGGTCATTCTCTGCAGCACAGGGTCCTGCACTAGGAAATGCTGTGTACAGCACACCCCTCTCTTCACTGGAAAGGTGATCAGGTTTGGGAGCACCCGGGCCCGTGCACCTGCTGGCAGCTCTCTGAGCAGGGCAGCAGCAGATGATCCACTGCTCAGCTCTTGGATCTGCAGAAGTGCTACACAACAGGGATGACTTCTCATCCGTCACTCAAGAGTCTTGGTCTGTGCTCGAGGATGGCAAGCAGTGGGCTCCCTCCCCACCACAGAGAACTAGTTGTTTTGCAGATAGACTAGATTTGGGGCCAAGGAGGCAGTGCCTGCTCTTTGTTCCTCGTGCCAGCACCTCATGCTCACACATCTGAGCAGAGAGATGGATCTGGTGAGATGCTGCAGTTTTATCCTCCCCTGTCATGTCTGGGTCAGAGAGAAGTTGTGTCCCCTCCAACTAGGCTGCAGCTGCCTCCTTTCTGTGAAGCTTATTTAACCTAGGAACATGCTTTCTGGCTCTCCCTGCTCCGTGGGACTGGGATGGTTTGGTGGGGGTATGACAGGCCAGCTCCAACCCTTCACTAACCATCCCTCTCTCTCCGTAGAGTACAGCCGCTTCGAATCCAAAATCCACGACTTAAGAGAACAAATGATGAACAGCAGCATGAGCTCTGGGTCGGGCTCGCTCCGGACAAGCGAGAAGAGATCTCTCTATGTCCGGTAAGGTACACTTCCTCACCCTTTCCCAGGCTCACAAGGAGGGAGCTGCAGGGAACCCACCACCCACCCCTGGGGCTGCTGAGGTTTGGGTGGCCTAGTTCAGATGCTATGGGTGAAATCCTGGCCCAACTGAAGTAAAGGCAAAACACCCATTGACTTCATTGGGCCAGGATTTCACCCCAAGCCTTCCCTTGGTAAACTGCAGTGTGAGGCCGTTCTGCCTGGTGCAATGCCCCACCCCTGCTGCAGTGAAGTGTCGGGTGCTCTGTCTGCCCTTTGGAGTCACCTACTGTGGGGGACCTCTGCAGTGACTAGCTCCTGCTGGGCAGAGGTCATTGCAGTTCAGGCCCCACCTCTGAGCGTTTATACCAGGCCAGTCTCTGTGCAGAATCTCTTCCCTTTGCGTGCAGCACCCCAGGAGAGTTTTCTCTTCACCAGAGGGCAAGGTGGCTTTTCACAGTCCAGAGAGGCAGTCCCCTGCCGTGGTGCATATGTGCCCTCCGCAAGGGGCTCCCTTCTGGCCAGGCCTGAGCAGAAGCTGGTGACAAATGCAGTTTTGTTGGAGCCCACTGAGGGCCCTGCAGGCTGTGAGCTGCATCACCCTTCTTAACCCAGGGAGGAGGGAGCTTGGCTGAACCTATCTTCCTAGAAATGTCTCTGGCCCCCAGGCCATGCCTGCTGAGGGGAAATAGAACCTAAGTGCAACCTTGTAGCTTGACGATTCAACCCACCGCTCTGGCTTCCACAGCAGCCCTGACTAGGTCCGTTTACCTGTGCAGAGTCTGTGCTGTCCAACCTTTGCCTCATTACAGCCCTTGATACAGATCACGCTGGAGGCATGTGGCCAAGTGCATGTTACTGAGGGAGCCGTGACTTTGGTGCCTATAATACCAAGCCCTAACGTTGCACTGAGGTAGCCCTTGCATTGCATTGAATCTCTAGTTCCCCCTTTTTGAGATGCATTACTTTCTAGTGCTGGTCTCTCTGCACAGAGCCTGTGGCAGATCCAGGCACAGGGCAGTGTTATCTCTGACTCTCCAGGTAGTGGGCCATTTGGGACTGAAAGGACCAATAGGCAATAGGAGGAGAAATTCAAGTGAGTCTGCCAGGGGCTGGAGTGAGCACTAACCTGGAATCCTGATGTCCGAGATCTGTCCTCTCTGCGTGGTCAGGGGTGCCCTGCATTTTCCCTTAGGAGGCACTTGGGGCAGGGAAGGCAAGCAGGTGACACTCAGAACTTGGCGCACATCCTAGCAAGCCAGCCCCGTGGTGCAGTGAGCCCCGCTCGGGCAGAGGCTGCAATGGGTGCCGTGGAAGATGTAAAGCCCCCAGAGCTCATCTTGGCGTGCAGTGCACAGGGAATTTCTGCTGGCTGCGGCTGGGGGTGTGGGTTCATACCCTGAGTGGGGAGGACTGGAGATCTGGGCCAGGGCTTTCACTTCTGCTGCACCCCCAAGGGCTGTGGTCGGGGTGTAGGATGCTTTCTGTGGAACTCCTCCCCTCTTCTCTCCAATACATCCCTGAGGCAGGATCTGGCTGGAGGGGAGGGGAGCTCTTAGCTGGATTATTGCTTTGATCCCTGGACATGCTTATAGGTCAGAGCCAAGCTTGGAAGAGACGGGTTAAGTGACAGCTGCTATAGCCCCTTTATCCCCCCCAAGATCCCTGCTGTAGCACCAAGGGCTCCCCCTTACAGGGATCCAGCCATGCCCCCTTCTCTTTAGCCCAGGGCTGCGTGAGTGACTAAGTGTTTTCTTAAACTGCTAATTAAAATAACCCCACACATCTCCACCCAGCACTGTCTGTGCCGCAGGAGGGAGTAGGGCCTCTGGCTCCAAGCGGGCTTCCCAGAGGGGAATCTGCCAGCTGCAGTAAAGGCTGCTTCAGCTGTGTAGAGAGTGACAAGTCTGTAGGGCCCTACCTCCTGTCCTGTAGCACAGGAAGCCTCTCTGTGGTGAGTCCTGGCCTAGGGCTGTCACTGAGCCAAGGGGCCCAGTTCTCCTGACGGCTCTAGGCCACGGTCTCTGCTGTACCCTAGCCCCGTGAGAACTCCCAGGGAAGGGTCCTGCGTGGGGTTCTCTGTGCGAGCCTTTCACTGTCTTGTGGCACTCCAGCCAGGGGAGAGCCGAGCCAGTGGAGCTCCCAGGAGAAGAGTCCTGGGTCCTCTGCTGGAGGGGACGCTGGCCCTTCTCTGTAACTCCAGGCGCTCAGCCAGCAGCAGGTTATCTGTCTCTGATAGTCACTTCCCTGAGGACTAGCATTTTCCCTCACAGGCTTGTAATTAAAAGGTGCAGGGCTCGTACTAAATAAGCTGTGGTTTGAGGCACCCCTTGGTATTCCCGGGCCCTGCTCGTGCTGTCACCCTCTCAGGTCAGGTCCAGCCCTGGGAGGCCGAGCCAAGCTGCATGTGGCGACATGGGGGCTGGGGTATGTCTTAGTAAATGCCAGGAGCTGCTGTGCTGACTGGCGCACCCAAGTGCTGGGTACTGAAGATGATGGTGCCCACGGGTGGCTGGTGGGTGCAATATCAGAGTCTGGTTCCGGGAGCTGAGCTGTGGAAGGGCATGGGGGTTGGTGGGCAGTGTGACCGTTCCCTGTTCTCTGCAGTGCTCAGCCAATGGGAAGGCAGGTTGGCTCCCTTAGTGATGGTGACTAGCCCTAGGAGAGAATGATCTTTCCCTCTCACTCTGCTCACCCAAACTGCCTGGGGCACCTGGGGAACGGGCAAGGAGAGGAGCTACACGTGTACATGAGAGCGTCCCAGTGCGGATCTGTCAGCCTCCCATCAGCCTGTACTGTTCTGTGTCTTCCAGGTGTCAGGCCCTGTGGGGAGATCATGCAATGTCCCCCTTGGGCCAAACAGGAGCTGGTGTGTACATCTGCCTTCCTTCTGGAAAGGGCTGGTCATGGGATATGGCTCAGATGACCACCCCACTCCTTCCTGCTGGGATGCATAAATGCATACGAGCCTGGGTGACTGATGAGCATCCCTTTTGAAGCATGATTTTTAACCTCAGCCTGCCCATCCCCTGGCTCATCTCTAACCGCGGTCATTAATGGCAGTCCGGTTAAACCGTATTGGGCCATAGACTGTCAGTGGTTCCTGTTGTTTGTGACCACACTTCTCAAAGCCATTTTATACCTGTCTTGAGGAGCCCTGCCCCAACCCTTCTGGGTGGGGTAGTTTCGAGCACGATTTAGATGAAACTGGTTGAGCTGTCGTGCTGTGGACAGGACAGTAATTACTAGGTTTGCTGCCAAACTGCCTTAGTCAGTCCTCCAAGGCAATCCCACAGTGCATGGCATGACATCAGTAGGGGAAATGTTTGCCACACTGTCTTCCAAAGCAGGAAATAACCCCCTATTCTTGAGATGAACACACCTGCATTCCCTGGCTGTGGATACCCCAGACCTCTCCTGCCGTTGGTTATAGATTGTTAGATTCCAAAGCCAGAAAGGACCATTGTGATTATCTAGTCTGACCTCCTGTATAGCACAGGCCAGAGACCTGCCCCAAAACATTCCTAGAGCAGAGCTTTTAGGAAAACAGCCCATCTTGATTTAAAAATTGTCAGTGATGGAGAATCCATTGTGAACCTTGGTAAATTGTTCCAATGGTTAATTACTCTCACTGTCAAAAATTTGCAGTCTGAATTTGTCTGACTTCAGCTTCCAGATGTTGGATCACATTAGACCTTTCTCTGCTAGATTGAAGAGCCCGTTATTAAATATTTGTTCCTAGTGCAGGTACTTATACACTGCAGTCAAGTCACCCCTTCACCTTGTCTGTAAGATCATGTGATTGTGACATAGTTTAATGCACACTGGACGTCCCCCTCCCCCTGTGAGATGTAGGTCATTAGGAATAGACTCATGGGACATCATGCCCCAGTGCCAGCCCTGTGGGGCCCCAAGAGGCAAAGTGCATCTGAACTGGCTCCAAAGATCCTGGATAAGGCTTTACCTGGGCTGGGAAATAGATGTAAAACATATTCATGCCCATGTAACTGGGAGTGAGGTCAGGGACCAGCCAGCTGTGCTGCCCCTGCCTTGGCCCTCTTGCTATGTTGAATGCTCTAGTTTCTGTTCCCACTCCAAAGCCTAGGTACCTCAGTGTCATCTGGTACTGGCTGCTGTCAAGAGTGGGGTACTGAGCTGGGTGCCCGTAGCTCTGCTCCAGTCTGGCAGTTGCAGCTGAAGAGAGTGGCTTCCTTCTAAGTCATCTGGCCTTTCCACAGGGCTGGCGTTGGAGACCCCAGACAATTGCTGTCGCTCACAGAGCAGGGCAGCCTTGTGTGCATTCTGAGGCCAAGTCTTTTATCTTGGCTCCCAATGGGGGCTGATTGTCGGGAAACACTGAGCACCCCATCTACTGCCCCCAAGAATCGGGCCTTGCAGAGTCTCAGGTAGGGCACCTAGAATCCCTAAGTTACTTTGGAAATGGTTTGCAGCTTTCGGCCGTGCTGTGTGTATGGTCTGGGGCCCTGGCTGAATCCCGCTGGGGTCTGGAATTAGTCAAGTGTGTCGTGCCCATTTGTGGAGCCCTGTTGTACTCTTCATGGGTCTGCTTTTTGCTTTAATCCCAGACATTAGGCAGCTCACTTCCAGCGCTGGGTATGTTTCCCCGCTCCCCCAAAAAATCACTCAAAGAGGAGGGCAGTGCAGTGCAGCGCAGCGCAGCCTGGTATCACTGATTCATAGAACCACAGTTTCTCCTCCCTGCCCCCAGGTGCCTGACTGCAGTGATTAGGGCATCCTCTACCCGCACGAGGTATGCGTTAGAACAACATCCAGTCTTGATTTGAACCTGAGAATGCTTCTGTTGGCCGATGATCGGCACTAATGCGCACCTAGTCTAGGCGAGGCCTTCGAGCGCGGCTCCATGTTCCGCATCAGATTGCTAATCCCAGGCAGGATTTGCCGCTCACCTTCTAGCTGCCAGTGTTAAACTCCCCCTGAGGCCCACGGGCAGCTTTCCTTCTCCTGTGTTGTCACGGTAA